ATATTTTATTACTAGATTATTTATATATCAATATTAATAATAGAGAGTTTACTAAAATAATTAACTAAAATATCAATTAGTTTTTAGAAAATCTTGAGTTTGAGATCAATAATTTATTACTTTATGGTTTTCTTATATTTAATAATAAGCTATTTGAATTTAGTAATAAAATTATTAAATAGAATTTTCTTTATTTTATACTTATTATAATTCATAATAATTTTATAGAAAAGATTGAGGGTTTAGTATTATTTGTTTAATTCGCGTTAGATATTTATTATAATACACTATCCGGGAAGCTAGAAATTGAAATTATACAAATTATCAATAATTATATTGAAATATATCTAATTGTTTATATAAATAGGGCTAGAAAACAAATTGATAAGAAATATAATCTTTTGAAACTCTAATTTGTTTTTATAATTTATAATTAAATAATAATTAATTATATTATAAAATATTATATATTGATTTTAATATTTTATAATATTTTATTTATTATTACTAAATTTCTTAGAAATAATAAGATATTTTCAATAAAATGGGGCTTATGGGTTATTATAAATAATAATCTTTAATATCTTAATTATATTTTTTAATTCAATAATCTTAAATTGAGTATTAACAATTTAAGCTTATATATCAACAACTTAAACTTGTAATAAACTTATAATCAATTCAATTAATTCGAATATAATTTGAGTAATTATAAAATATATAGTATTCAAATTATTAAACAAATCTGTGAATAAAAAAATATCAATTTCGGTGGAGTTGAGGATATAATTTAAGAAATAGAATTATAGGAATAAATCAGATATAGGTGCTGAATCAGCCATTTTTGGATATTTTTATAATTACAAAACAATCTTATAGAATTCCTAAATAGTAGTAGCTAGGGTGTATAACAAATCAATAATGAATACAATCAATATAATCGAGATAAACTTTAATGAAATTCAATTGAAATAAAGCTATAATAACTTTTATATAGATAATATAAATTATTAAGATATGAGTAAAGATTTATATTATATTATAAGGGTAGAAGAATTATGGAAAAAAGGGACCCTATTTATAAGAAATAAGGTGCGCTAGTTATAGGAGCCTTAGGCACAAAGGCAACTAACGAACAGGTAGTTGGCGCCGTGACAATAATATTACAACTAAATAACTAATAACTATTACAATTTTGATTATACACAGCTTCCATTTATATTAATTATAGTTCTATATTTATTAGGTAATTCTATATATCTTTTTTGAATTTCTTTCTATATAATTTTACTCTATTTATTCTATATAATCTTTTTTAACTTATTCAATATTTTCTATTATCTTTTCCAAACTTGTTATTTTAATATATTCCAAATGTCTTTTATTGAATTCAGATCAAATAAATTAAGGGGGTGAGGTAGATTTTCGATATTGTGTATATTCTTAAGTTTTTGTATAAAACTATATTTAATAAAACTATAAAAATCATTATTATTTTTTATTAAAAATTATTTATATATAGAATCTTTTGTTTATAGTTTTTCAATTACTTTTATATAAATTGGAAATAATTGTTTAATATAATATTCCTAGATTATAATATTATTTTGAAATTTAATATTCTTAGGATATAGTTTTTTAGTTTCCTATATACAAATATACTTCTTATAGGAATTACAACTTTCAGTCTTGAAATATATCCTAAACTTAGATTCAGATTTAGATTTATCTATATATTCCTTTTTGTTATAATAGAATTCAAAATTTTCAGTTTTTTTCTCGAAAATGATTTATATTTTATAATAAATTTTATTATCTTTTAATAAAAAATATTCCATTATATTTTCTGATTTATATTGAATTTCAGCTTTTTTTAAAATCTCTTCTTTTTTTATAAAAATAGGATTTATATATATTTCATTTATATATATAATATATTTCCAAAATCCTTTTATAGTATTATATTTATATATATTATTAAATATAATATATTTTCTATATTATTAATTATTAATATATTTTTCTAAATAGGCAGTTTTGTAATATTAATCTTGATTTATAAATCTTTTTAAATTTTTCTATAAAAAATATTATTTAATCTTTAATTTGAAATATTTAATTATTATTTTGTAAGGTTTGATTTGTAGTTTATTTTGGGAGAGTAAAATAAGTATCTTATAAGTAGCCTTATTGATTGATATAGGTCCCCCTAGATTCTTTGAGAGCTTATGAATTTGCTTATAGATTTGCCTTTCTAATATATCTCTTTCTTAAAGTTATTGATAATTTATAAAGCTTGGTATATCTAATTAAATAGAAATAGAGTGTATACTTTCTTTTATATAGTATTAATCAAATTTATTGAAAAAGTATAATTTTTTTAATAAATTATATTCTCTATATAATTCTTTATTAATAGAAATAATCTTATATTTAATTGATTGTGTATTGAGTAGCATTTTGAAGTTGAATTGATTATATATATTTTGAATTGTTTATTTTGAGGCTATTTTCAAAAAACGCGTGTCCCGTGAGTCCGTGCACCCACTGGTGAATTGAGTATTAATATTGTAAATCACAATATATAATATTATAATTTTTAAGAATAGATTTGAATCCTTAAGTAATTATTAATGAATTGGATAATCAGAGGTATGGTTACACGAAATTGAATGAACAGTTGAAGTGGCATGTGGAAAGGTTGACTTCTATTGTATAAAATGCATCAAACGATCACTTTATTGGGGCTTTTCATATGATCTAGAGCAGTCACCGATGTTGACTAAGACTACATTCCCTGTTCTTTCTTCCTTTGCTTTAATATTCTCTCTCAAGAATACAAATCACGGGGAATTGAGTATTAATATTACGAATTATAATATATAGTATTGTGATTTTTAAAAATAGATTCGAATCTTTGAATAATTATTAATAAGTTGGATAGTTAGAGGTATAGTTGCACGAAATTGAATGAATGATTGAAGTGGTATGTGGAAAGGTTGACTTCTATTGCATAAAATGCATCAAACGATCACTTTATTGGGGCTTATCATAGCAAATAGATTTCTAAATCTTCTGCGCTTATGGTCAGACTGACGATAATGCATTATTTCTGCAGTAAGATAGCGCAGTGAACGGTTCTCTGAAGATGGGACTCGAGTCCCTCTAGGTCTTTCTCGTTCCAGCTGTATATATTATAATATGCCCTGGCGTCATGACTTGCGAAGCTGCCCGTTGTGTGTAGCTAGGTTCCTTAACTGGTAGAAACTTACTACGACTATCTAAAATGCACAAAGAGAGAAAAGAGAGATCCAGTAGGCAGATGTAATAGTAAGGTCTACTTTGTACACCTTCTGTATATTATACCTAATGAAACGCGTAGATATAGACGTATAAAGTAGACATTATTTGTGGTGAATACTCAAGACTCTGATTTCATAATGTTCACACCTTGATTCACCGGACCCTAATAAGACAAGTGTATATTCAACGGAAAGGGTAGACGGCTCTTTATCAATGTATAGGTAATGCCCTTGGAGATTTCGAGCGTGCAAATGGAGATAAGAGACGCCTAATCCGACCTCGAATATCGCGAAGAGCCCTATGGAGTTATCATATTTTGGAATCAGGAAGACAGTCTCGTGCAGGATGTAGACGTCTCAGTGGAATCTGACACACTTCGAAAGCTGGCCTTGCCTTACTCCAATGTACTGGATCTCAGTGATCTATCTTCTTATATTAGCAGAGTACCTGAGTCTATTTCCAACATGAATTCTCGCACATACAATGCTTTCTCTGTGCAAGAAGATCAGCACACTTTCAATACCAAGCCGGATAGAGAGAGAATGTGAATGACGAAGTGAGGCTGCGTGTGGCTTTGTTATCGGCGTTCATTCAATTATTCTAGAGTATGTTGGTCTTGGTATCAACTAGGTTGATAGGTGTGAATTACATTAGTCCATTATGATTGTAATTGTTCTTGACCATTATCAATTATGGGAAGCTAGTATAATATTTAAGGAAGTGCTAGCACCTCGCTTGCCAATACAGCGGCCTCTGTGATCATATGATTGATATGCCGACAGTTGGTCCAGAAACTTCCTTGTAGCTTCGATCTTCAAGCCTGTTGTCAGGCCAGTAGTAAATGTTGAGGTGGTGTTGGAGTTGAATGGTATATTGATGGATGTAGACTGCAATGAGGATATGGTTCTGTTTCCCCATACCCGTAACGTAGAATGGATACAGATCAAGGTGCGTAAGCCTGTGAGTTCCTTTCCATTCCTGTCTGGTCTAAACCAGCACTATTTCTTTTACATTGTGTCCGCCGCTGGAAAATACTCTCCCGCTGTACAGTACCTCATAGATAACCTTGAAACCTCGCCTCTTACTGGCACGTATATGTTGGAGATCAAATATATGAAGTCCATGGAGCCGGAGTTAGAGGAGCGTGGAGTGTTATGTTTGAGCGATGGGACCGAGCTCATGAAGCTACCTTGAGACTACTCGAGCTCTATAGGGAGAATAGTGGAGGTGAACTTTTCAGTTAGCCAGGGATGGTATGGGGCTGAATCGGTAAAGCGTTATTTCAGTTATGAACAAGATGCGGGAAATGGTCACTTAGGGTGTCAAAAAGTTTATCTTTGAGCACACATGTTCATGATTGATCTCATTCTGGAACTAATTTTTCATTCAGGTACCTAGGTACAACTATAAAACGGTATTTTATGCCTTGCCAGATGAGCTTCGATATCTCACTTGGCCCTGGAACATTTAAGATATCAATGTCGCCATCAATAAAAACATTTCTCCCACATTCATGTGACCAGACGTAGATTGATTGAAGACGTAGTAGCTAGTTGATTAGAAGCCTAATCAATACAATATATCAATATATGACTGTAATAGATGACAAGCTAACGAAAACTTCGACCGAATCCGCAATATAATGGCTGTTTGCATGAGCATATCAATTTTCGCCATCGCCAAATTACCTAGCATCATCAGTGATTATCCTCATCATCGTAATCATAATCAGCATTACTCCAAACGCATATACAATCATCAAGATCCTCATCACTTGTTTCACCCTTGGAAATCTCCATTATATGCTCTCGGTCGAGTTCTGCATTTGACTCTGGCTTAGGCCAAACAATTGCCTCAGCCTCATCGTAGTGAGCGTCCAGATCAGAGCCTCTGTCTGAAATATCCCATTTGAACAGATCCGCTCGGCACCATCTTAGTTTGAAATAGAGCTTTTCCATGCGTCCAATGGCGATTTTGTAATAAAACATGAAATTCCTCCACCTTCTTCTTTCGTATGCCCAGGCTATTTTCTTCATCAGTTTTCCTGACTCGACCGAATCGTACGCAAACACAACATACTTATTCCCTTCTGCCAAAGAAAGGCTCAGTTTTTCCCAATTTCCCCTTACAAATGAGTATTCGTATCTCTCCAGTTCTTCCATAGCTCTCGTCACCCTGGACCAATAATCTAGTCGATCAACAGCTTTGGAAGGCCCAATCACAAAAATTCCAGTTGGGTCGCTTTCGCTTCGAAAGAACTCCCGAAATCTAATGGAATGAGCACGAATATTCTGGTACTCAGGCTCTAGGACTTTAAGTAGTTCTCTTCGGTACTGCTTCAAACGAAGAACGTCCTCAGCGGTTTCAGTGTTCTCAAGAGGAGAATTTCTCATCACTACAACTAGCTCTCCACAATCGAGGAAACTTTGTTCGTCTTCTTGAATAACTAGTCCACCATCAACAGCCTCGGGCGGGCGAATTGAAACATCATACACTCTGATGTTGCGTCGGATGCCAACGGACTCTCTGTCAATCAGTACAATTTCTGCACAATGGAACAACCAGAAATACTCATTCAATCTTGCACTGAGAAGACCTAAACATTCAATAATCGGAGTGTCTCCGCCAGTAATCTTGTCGTACTCACTGATAAGCTCTGGCGAAGGTAAGTCAGGTACGCTCAAGTCCGCAGGCCATGTCTTTTTTCCTTGATCATCTCGGTCATAACAGTAGTCCGGAATCACAGGAAGCTCGGCACATTTGATAACGAGTGTCTTGATATTCCGTATCATTTTCAATGGTAGCAGATTTTCAGCAAGGCCTTCATCCAAGGAAAATGATATTATTTCTGTGTTGGTTTGGTCTTCATGGAAGTTCATGGGCAGAATTGAGATGTTTAGGGAGATATTCGGATACGGAGACACTGAAACACAGAATTCGGCGAAAGCATTCGAGCTGAAAAGTTTTGTTTGGAATGAGTTCAAGAGGACGTTCCAACTCTTTACTTTCTCAATGCTTGGGGTATCGCGAAACAACGGTTTCTCCTGATGTTCTTTAGGCTCCCAATTTAAATAACGGGTTAGTGGGCAGAGATTGATGATATAGGGCTCCTGGATTCCATTTCGTTCGTCTTCTTCAATTTCCCCAGAACTTTTCTCGAAGATTCCATCTTGGAAATCCCAATCACCAGGACTGTTGCTGCAGTCTATGAAAATGGGGTTTTTGTACAAGATAGAAATGCCTTCCCGGTATGTCTGCTTACAAACACAAAGGATTGCAGTGTCTAGATCGTACTTCTGAGTATTTCCATAGGTGGTTTCTGACGAAACTGAAGCGGCTTGTCCTAGGACTGGGTTGACTAGAAGGTATGAGTAAATCATGTCCCGAATTTCTTGTGGAATACTGATGAGAGCGCTCTTAAGTTCTCTAATTTCGACTGGAGAACCCGAAGATGTATCCCTTGATGTGTGATCCGTAATTTGACTGATTGAGGTTTTCGATGAAGAGTGAGATGTGTCCATGGTAGGCATAATCTTTTCGTCTGGACTTTCTGACTTTGAAGCTTGTTGTGTAGTCATTGTAATATTTTTCTTGGACAATGGATCATCCATGACCTATGTTGTCTAGCATTATATCGTCAGTAATAAATACTTTGGCATAACGTCAGGTACTATTTGATGTTCAAATTTGAAACTTAAATGAATGCAACTTACATGTGTCAGTCGAAAAGAAAGGAATCTAGTTGGGAAAGAACTTCTCGACCCTTAATTAATACGTATTAGCTGTAATGAAAAGTTTACAAAGTTTTTTTTAAAGTTTCCTTCTTAAACAAACGTTCGGGAAAGGCTTGAAAACATGAAGGAAATATTCTTTGAGATTAGCAAGTTTCAAAAGAAGAGACTAATTTGACACAAGACGCTAAGAAAGAACCGCAGAATACTACTAGATGTTCCTCGAATCATAACTCGCTAAAATCTGAAGTTATAAGTAATACATTCACTTATACCAATTTCATCCTTAAGCCTGTTAAGCCGAAGTCCGAGTCCGAACACCGAAATTTCTGAGAGTTTCAAGCAGCTCAAAGCAGGGATACAGCAGCAGGAGCATCGAAGCTAGATTTTGACAGTCTTTGTTATTGGATAGGCCAGACTTCTAAATTTGTTGTTAATAAGTTTGTGTTGTATTCCCAAATAACACCCTTTTATCTTGAGATCTTTCTAAATTTACCTACATAGAAGAAATCTTCACAGCATATTAGATTTTAAATAAACTCTACTTTTCCAAACTTCACTGTACATTTGTTTTACCATAAAGCAAACAGGTAGCACTGGATTTCGGTTATCAACTCAATAGCAAACACCGTGAAACTTAGCCAGAAGAATTTTCTGAAAGACTAAGCTTGTGTCGGTGCTTGTTGGAGACTTGTACAACTTTGCTTATACTTGCCTCTTGGTAAATATGGAGTCAGCTAAAGGTGTATGCATTTTTGGAAAGCACGACACGACGAAAAGCTTTGTAGGCTAGCTAGAGCTCAGTGCTCACTCATCCAACGATTCATTTGTTTATTTCACTCATTTTATATATGAACTTTATGGCGAATCGTTGTTTGATGACTACTAAGTAAGAGGAAGCAAATAATGACTGATATGATCAACCTTTTTTTCTACTACCTTTCAGATAACTCAAAGACCCAGCTAGGAAATAAAATGAAAGATAAGGCTGAGACTCTACCCCTAAGCTTGCCATCTTCCACAAAATATGACTGGCACAAAAAGAGATCCTGATGCTAAGCCACAAGCAGAAATAGACGGGGAAACGACCATACTAATATCCGATCATCATCTGCGAAAACAATAGAAGACTCAACTAGTCACTGTCGGTCCCAAAACCATTGAGATTCGGAAGCTGAAGATCACCTTACAGCATGTCGTCTTAAGAGCCCTCCTCCGACTAAACTCAGCATCACAGATACAAATCTGAATGCAGCGATTTACAGCAAGACCAATGATCTCCTCATTCCAGTATCTCTGCATTCTTAACATCCATATCCGGCTCGACTTTATCCCAAGCGATTCTTTCATCACATCTCAGTGGCTCCGCGTCAATTTCGGCGGTTTAGTCTGGACCCTCCAAATCCCATTCAAAGAGCCGCTTCCTCGCATTGCGGATGGCAAGGTATTGAATATCCATATCGTCGACAGCATACTTGAAGTTTGCCACGAATGCTTCCACGTCTCTACCCCCATAAGCATTTGCGCATTTCTTGATGGCAATCTCTCGGGGAAACACTTCGAATGTCATCTCATACTGACCATTCAATCTGCAAATGGCAATCTTGGTTGCTGTTGTTAGGTCTCTGTCAAAGGATTCCGCATAGTTCTTCAACAAAACAAGTCCCTCGCTTTGCACTCCAGGAGACGATTCAAATGGTGATGGTTTAACAGGATCAAGCAGACCACCGCTAACCTTTTGGTCTTTAACAAATCTGACCAAATCATTGGCGGCTTGCTGAATTCTATGATACTGTCTCTCGAGGAACTGTACGGTATTTGACCGAAGAATTTTTAATTCGGAAATATCCTGTAATCCTGCTTCCTCGTTCATTTGCATATGTAAAGCCTTTAGCAAAGCGGATTCTACAGGATGGGTCCCACGAAAAGGGTTTTTCGCCACGTATGGACTTTGATAAAGACTATCGCCGGTTGTGTCCTTTTGAAATTTATATATCCGTTCAAATGTCTGGGCGTAATTGAGAAAAGCGTAAAACACTTCGTGGAAGTGTTCGACTTCAGAGTCACTTTGAAGCAACTTAATCAAATGAGTTAATAAGTACATCGTCTTCGGTAACAATACCCTTCCACGGGGTGTGGCAATACGCCAAAGGGCCCCTGATACCCAGCTATAATAGTCTTACCCTTGTCTATCTCCTCGAAAGAGAAAGTCAGGCACTTCCTCTGGATCTGCTCCACGAATCACAACTTTTCCAGCACACCGAAGAATCTCCAAGGGTGAAAGAACGTGCTGTATTATCTTAGCCGTTGTTTCATTTTTTGCAGCACTCCCTCCGGGACCTGCTCTCGATAAATTTGGATACTCCAGATTATCCCAAAGCGCAATCACAAATTTCATCGACTTTATTCCATTGTGGCAAATAGATCGACAAAGGTTTATAACGTTGTTACGCGCGCTAATGCGCATCGGGGCTATTAATATCTTCCAATGTCTGATGCGCTTCACACCTGGCACAGTTCTCAGATGATTGATGGCTAGTTCTCTTGGTGAATGCAAGCTCTCAGGGCACGCAACCTCGCAAAACCTGGTTAAAGCGCAGCGGTGAAGCAAATGGTCCCGAGCTGGCAGAACACATTCTATGAAGAACCAATTTTCTCCATAAAGCATCTCCACTCCTTCAGCGTGGAATTCCTTGCAGACGCGTAGAATAGCGGGCTGGAGTCCGTACTTGATTTTGGACCCCCATCCTTCATTGCTATGAATGCATGAGACTCTGCCCAGCTCAGGATTTAGCAAAAGATATTTCAATATTTCCCTTCGTATCTCAAGCGGCATTCGTTCCAATGTTGAAGTTGACCCTGCTGCAAGTGGGGCTTTTCTCATGCGGATGGAGGCTGGTGGTGCGTTTCGTTCTGAGAATTGGCCATTGTCTCGATCGATTTTCTGCGATTGCTTTTGAAGCATCTTTTTGGTACTGCGTTTTTCCGTGGGGCTCATTGTGAAGAACTAGTTCAGTTGTCAGTCATGTAAAACACATTCACGGTAGACTTCGCATTTCAAATAATAGTTGAAAACAAGTATTCGAGAAAGCTATGAAATGTCAAAGGAATGGAGTAGCAATACTTACAGGAGTCTGATCTCGAAACTTACTTGGAAAGTACCAAATGAGTTGGAGATAAGATAAAAGGACTTATTCGTTGAATGATTATTTTTCTTGGTTCCGAAAGACGAAGCGAAGTGCAACGAGTTTGTTCGGATTGTCCTGAACAATGAAACTACGCTAATGAGAGCCTTCCTTATCAATAAAAATTGGATAATAGCAGACTTCCTGGAACATTCACTTCTCTTTGCAAAAGTTCCAATACCAAACTTGTCCATTTGCTATCACATGATCTTTCTATCACTTGGGACAATTCGCACCATTTTAATACGGTGTATTGATGCACACAGGACCTGGAACTGGGAGAAGCGGGCTTGGGAGCAACAGGGCGCGCTACATGGGCTTACTCTTTGATGTGGGATTTTATAAGGTTATACGTTGAAAAATTTATTACGCTCTGTAGAGGAAGCGACGATTAGATTAAGAACGAGAGCGGGCTCTAGAGCTTTATTACCATTGCTTGGTATGCGTATCTCAGCATCTGGTAGTGTTCCTTGCCTAGAATATTCGATATCTAAAAACCAATTGTTAGCATTGCTTGCGCAAGTCAGAACATTCCACTCGACAGAAGACAGGCTCCTTATGGCTTGCCAAGTTTTCAATTTTTATTTTACGGCTCATTAACAAGTCACTAACAAACATATAGGATGAGAGTGGTGATGTTCACGAAGTTATGAATGTAAATTCTGTAAAAAGAATTGATCAAACGTTTTGAATTTGGATTTAATGAATGGTCGGACCAGAAACACCAACCAAGCCCTCACCAGTAGACTTCAACATCTGATGCTCTTCCTTTACTTCCTAATTTACTTTCCAGATATGGCTTGATCAGATTTCTGTATAGTCAAACTGTGCTGAAAGCTTGTCAGCTGCCTTGAATCCCACCTCGCAATCCTTCACGTCTTCTTGAAAGATAATCTACATTTTCAGAGAACTAGTTATTATCCTCGCCAGCGCTGTCTTCCTCGCATACGTTGTCAGAAAGTTAGGGTTCTCCATAAGAGCGGTATTTATGCCACGATAGATTGATCCGCATGTCTGGTTCACGTACGTTCCAATTGATAATCTCATCGGAAAGCATTGGCTTCACATCCACTTCCCGAACAGTTGCCTGAAGATCCCACGCATATAGCTTCTTTCTAGCCTGTCTGATCGAAAGATATTGAGCATCCATATCATTCACAGCCTCTTGGAAATATCTGACGAATTGAAACCACCACTGCTTCTCATAAGCCATGTCGCACAGCTTCATGAGTCGTTCACGTGGAAGATCGTCGTAGAAGGAGTTGAAAAGAAGCTTGTACTTTCGTATTTCAACCTTTGTAGCTGGCTCTAATTTACGCTTGAAGCTATCATAGTAGTCTTCTAGCAAGACCAAAGCTTGTGTGGCAATATCATTGGGTGAGGCGGTTTCATGATGATATCCATCCATATTGATGTATAGGGGATTATGAAAGAACCCATTTGCTATCTTATGAATTTTGATATAATCGACCAAATTTTTAGAAGCAGCTTCGATGCTCTGATACTCGGGCTCTAAGTATTGAATGAGGAGTGATCGATTAATTTTGAACTGATCCATTTTGTCCTGCAACATGGAAGTCTTGGCTGCACTGAGTGCTCTCTCGACGGGATGACAGCTGGCCTTGAATGGATTGATATTTTGGCCAGAGATAGCAACATTGCTGGAGATTTCGAAACTATACGTTGGTTCTAGCTCGTTTCTGGTGTAATTAACATCCATTTCTGACTTGAAGTCCTCCAATCGTTCGAAGGCTTGGGCGTAGGTGCGAAGACTTGTGTACATCTCCTCAATTCTCTCAACTTCTGAGTCACCCTGAATCATACCAGTAAGCTCCACCTCATCAACAGGATTGGGCAAGATTGGTATGAACTTATCCGCAGGTTCCTCATCGAAAGCGCCCCACGGAATCTCGTGAGTCTCTGCGGGCCGGATGATGAATTTCTGGATGTTCCGGAAACGCTTAAGTGGTGACAGAGTGATCGCGAGCTCATGTTCATCTCCATAGTTGTCGCTCTGATTCCAGCCCATTTCGATGCCTCGTGGGATAATCAAGACTTCTAGTGATTGAATGTTGCCCATATAGATGCTGTGACACAAACGCAGAAGTTTCTCCATCGCTCCTGGCTGAAACGCAATACCGCTAATCAAAATCTTCCAGTGTCGAACGTATCTTGCAGCTGGAATAATGTTTTTGTCTTTCTCCACTCCTAGGTCTTCGCGAGTACGATCAAGGTGCTGTGGCCTAGCCAAAGCGCACAATTGCCTGGAGTAACTGTGCCAGAAACATGAATCGTACGGGATGCATCCAACCAAAAATTTGTTGCTTCCATAGAGAATATCCGCAGCCTCGTTGTAGATCTGCCTATTAACTCCCAGGATCGCGGGGAATAACCCAAAGCTAGCCTGATTGCGCTCGATGACAAAACTCTCTCCAAGAAGTGGGTTCAGAAGCAGAAACTTCCAGATCAGCCTGCGACAGTCTAGGCTGAGTGAATTGAGAAGAGGACATCCTTCAACGGGTATCTCTGGATTACCTACTGGCGGTCGCAGATTTGCCTGGAGGAGGTCTTTAATCTTGGCGAGCTGGTCGCTTGAGAGGAATTTTGTCATCTCATAGCTTAAAGCTGCAGGAATGCCATGGTATGATGAAACTGATAGAGCTTGATCATTGGCTTCGAATGCAGTATCGTCTTCTGTATTTGTAGTCTTGAGATTCGCGAAGATATCTTGTCCTGTTGGGTTGGTGATGGGAAGTTCGCCGGGTGCTTCTTGATAAGGGGTCATGGTGCCGTCAGGCTGCACCTTATCCTCACTCATTCCGGTATTCATTATAGTACCTATATCTCTCAATTAATTAGTGGATGCTGGATATAAGGTACCACCATGGTTAGATGGTTGGGTGAGCGTCAGTATCTCTCAAACGCCAAGATATATAGGCGTTTGAGAACAACTTTCAACCTCTCAAAAAGTAAGGTCAAATCTAAAGTTGCCCCATGAGTGACTACTTACGGAGCTAATAATGGTTGAAATATAAGAGTGTATGCTCGAATTTGTGAGAGGGTTCAAACTTGAGAGTGGACTAACACGAAGTTGATGGAATATGTCTTGCAGTCCAAATCAAAGGTCGTACTAGTGAGTGTAATAACAAAAGTACTACCAGTTATGAAGATAGATAGTTGAAGAAATTAGTTGTCAAGTCGTAGGAGCCAGAGTGCTTATAAATACTAGAGGTGTCCATGGTGAAGCACTAGTGCTTCGCTTAAGCTACCTACCGCAAAACTAATACAGTAAGTCTTATTATTAGCTACCGTACTGTCTCCTTCATCTTGGTTCTTTGATGTGAAATATTGATCAGGCGGTTAGTGAATTGTAAAAGTTCCATTGAATGTTGATAATATATAGCAATTTCAGCCATCAATGATTCAAATGAAACTCTCCGAAGCTCCGCAGACACTATGAGTCATCCGTGTTCATACTTATATGACCATTGCTAGATCTATTACGACTGCAGGATTCACCATGATCTTTTCTGGGGTAGAATTTTTGCACGAAACGGTTGCAAAAGTTTGAACAGCAGAGAGTATTGAATTCGTATCTAGAACACCTTTTGTAGGTGAATGAATCAAGATTGATTCATATAGGCACACTATAGTAAAATCAGGGCTATTCATTCACCCACATATAATTTTGTATGGAGATGGGTAGCCACATCAGGATTGCTTGGTCAATATGAAAGTAGGTTAGTGAAATGTTGTGTATCGTAATATGTTTGAGTAAAGAATGTCATGTATCTTCGTTACTCTCAGAACCGAATAATCTTGAATAAGCTTTGTTTTGAATATACAAGATAGAGGTTTGCTAATTGTGCACTATATGAGAGTGAAAGATAGTTTCTTTCACAAGACTTCGGGACCTCGTTATTCTCTCATGGTCTTTGGATCTATCAATTGACTGCATGACAAGACCTGAATTCAGAACCATGGTCCCCAATCTTGTCGTCTGATTAGGACATCCATTGATATTCTCCTTAACATCATAAAGACCTATCTCTATCTTGGCCAACAGCATCTCAAATTACTATCAAATACTGGTCTCTGCTACCAGTAGGACTTTCTTAGAATTTTCACAGATAAGAAATGTCAGTATTCCTTCGCAAGGAAATAGGGTGATCAGTCCGCATATCATCGCAAGTTCCGATAAAAGAACGAATATGATGGGAAGTACTTCAGGCAAGTGCCACATCATCAACTCTCAGATGCAGGCCAGCCATGGTGTAATACGTCTTAATTCGAGAAATTCTGGCTGTTAAGAACTATGTCGAAATGCCCGCTGGCCGGTTGATTTTGTATCGAGAATTTGAGAGATCTGTAACAACTTCCCGTACTTGATATGCTCCAGTGAATCCCAGGGTGTTCATTAATTCGGACATCACGAATCTATCTTCCATTTCACAATAATTGAGACGGGAGGAGGGAGCGGCAAGCTATTGGCATCTTTCTCATCGATAAGTAAATGAATTGGTGTGAAATAATATGCGTCCATCCAGAAACTCTTAAGTACGACTGGTTGTCTCGGGAATCAGCTGCCATTCTTGAAATTATACACTTGTTTCCTTTTCACAGGCCCAGCGACCAGCATAATCAGCATGTTTATATTGTTTAGACAAACACACATGATACGATGGGTTTACCATTTCATCCTGACACAAACTGTTTGGGCTTAGCATCCAAACAAGGAGTCAAAATCGCGCTGTCCTCGAACGACGAGGCGGGGGTACATGGATGAAAACTCGTCGAGAATCAAACAGCAATGGATATCATCGAAAGCGGCAGCTGCGCAGGATCCACAATTATTTAATATGGAGAGATTAGCTTTCGTCATTAAAAGTATTATAATTAATCTAGTACTATAACGGATTGACAACGAAGAAGAATGGCTGAACTCGCCGAAACGAAATTCCCGGAAGTTAAGTACGTTTAGTAGCCACAGCCCTGTTGCTGCCTGTTGGAGATTAAAACAGAAGGATCAACCCTTTCTAAGGTCTTATTGCCTATCAAGTCCGCAATAGTCCGAGGACCTGAGTAGAATTGCGTTCCAAGTCCTGGCTGACCAAACCACTGTAACATTGAAGAGTTAGCATCTGTTTTGGTCACAAATTTTTGTAGTGAGACCTGGAGAAAACGTCGTGTTTTAAAACAGGGAGAAAAATATAGGTTACTGGAAGTGTACATAAGGAATGATGACATTCAAGGGCAAAAGACACTTACAGGAGCAATAGGCCCAGCATTTAGTATCAGCTTTTGGGTAGTTCGATAGACATGATAGTCATTAGGAAATCCTGGATCGTCAGCTCGATTGTTGAGATTCGAAGGCGGTAGAGATCGTTGGGAATACGGCGTATCGGCGGATGATAGAAACATTCCTAGGTGTGGTCAGTTGACAAAAATGTTACAAAAGTAGGCGGTACAGAACTAACCAGTCTCTTTTCCAAACCTGTCTAGGTAGGTGTCTGGCGGTAACTCTACAAACCCGCTGATGGGTTTCCCATTTATGTCGATTGAAAACCCTTGGTCCCCTGGTGTTACATCCCCTGGATATCTAAAACTCCCATATGGAGGATTGAGTTGAGGATCCCACCAGATTTTGAGAAATTCTCCGGGTGTTAGTCCACCAAATCTATCATAAGATGATAGCTCGCTGGAGAGAGGAAGATATTTTGGAAGGGTTTTTGGCCCAAGTCTCCAGTCGTAGCAGATGTATTGAGCAGAAGACGGCAGTGGACCTGGTGTTGTACCAGTGCAGTTACAGCCATATGATTGATCTGGTTTGTCAGGCTCATCAAAGTGACGAGCTTTCACTGATATGGGCTGAGTTGGATTAGTGCCAGTGGGCAATAGAGGAGGCGTGGTTGACTCACATAAGGAGAGGCATTGCTGAGAGCTATGACACCAGCAAGAAAAGCAAGTTGCAGCTTCATGATGTAGGACTGATAATGATGACTACCAACACTCCAACGCGGATATATGAATGCCAACGATTAAGGAGGATGTGCGATAGAGGAACTGGGCGAGGTGGGTGAGAGGCAGCCATTGCCATTATTTATACTCGAAGAAATATGCGCCCAGTTGTAAATTTGCTATGTAAACATTGAATATAAACAAAAATTCTGTTGATTAAATTAAACAATGATTCCTCCTGAACTATTGGACAAGGGAGGAATTTGCATGCATAGCATAAGACAACGACTTTCAGCCACGTCCCATTACATAAGATAAATTCTTGGCCCATACTTGGCTTGCAGATAAATACTCACCGATGAAGATTTTCTTGCCGATACACACTGAATTGGTATTTCGATGCATTTATTCAGCCCATTTGAGACCTTACAGGGCTCAAATGGCGGCAGCTGAAAGTCACACTACATGCTTTTTGAGTAAGACAAGAGGGGCTAATACTGCAATCTAGGCGTTTTTGAGAAAAAATATACAGGTACAGCCCCATGTACGAAAAAGTATCGTCGGGTGCTCATATTGGTAGTATTGCACTGTCGTGAGATTGTCGTCAGTATATTGTTCGTACAACATGGAGAGAGCATAAACAACTTATGACGGCTTTGAGGTCGGAATTTATGGCTGTACAATTCTGAACAGAGTCGGTTCAATATCGAATTGAGTCTTCGGTGCAATTTGGTGAGAGAGAGTCAGCTTTTTGAATCAAGAATTGTATTGCTTCTGTTTTGCCAGCTTTTGGAATGTTGTGGAGATTTCTCCACAAATCATGTGATTTTGGTTCTCGTGACTTGATTTTAAGCTTTGGGTGGGGCCACCAGTGGGCAAGCTAGTGGTATCATGAACGACCTCACGTCCTGTGCAAATAATCCGGACATATCATTACAGACATCAATTGATACTCTTCTGCTTCGATAATCTCGAAATATATCAAGCCCAATAACTACATGATTGGGAGCTTGGAAATTGTTAGCTAAATTCCTTTGAAAGTCTGACCAAAATAAGAATATCCGCCATTCTGTGATATGATCTCCGAGTGCTGTTTCCAGCGAGCGTATAACGACTCACTGCCTAGGTACCTAGGTAGCTATCAATGTGACCAGTCTTATAAATGTCTATATTATGGAGCCGGTTGGACACAGTCCGATAGTGCATGGACTGACAGGACATTTCCCAACTTTCGAAGTTTTTAGTAAAGATATTCTTCAGTTATTTGATATCAGACTTCACGTTCCGATTGTTATATCTCTAATGAATAACTACAACTGGTCCTTAGATATAGTTTGATACATCAGGAGATACTCAGAAGTCCAATTTTGCAGTGTCCCATCAGTCCGTACACCCACTGTTTGTTTTCTAAAGCTAACTATCTTCAAACAGAACTACACTTGTGCTCCACGGTCACTGCGAGTTTGAGTCAAGATTAGAAGACTGCAAATCCCTCTCTTGTTGTTTGCAATGCTAGGTTGTCAGAATGTTTCCAGGAATGTATTTTAGCACTCAGGGAAAAACACAGACCCAATGCAACCTGTCCGTTAGATATGGTATCACCTTTCATCTTTTGGCAACGGGGCAGAGCCGTGATCTCGTCCTGTTTGTTAACATCGTAGAATTTCAGCCAAACAGGCTCAAATAATGGGATTGCCAGGACATATAAACATGTTTTCCAATTTTGATAGCCATTCCAATTATTCACAGGCAAGCTAGCCTCGATTGTTGATACTACCTTTATTCATTATTCGAAACCGAAGCGCAGAACTAGCCAGGATGAGAAAGATGCCATTTCAAGAACGAATGCAAAACCGGTTCAACTATAGACACTCTGAATTTATATACACGAAGGGAAATTTATAATTATCTTAAACAACGTGGCATTTTGAGATATGAAGTACTACGGAACATGGTTTATCCATTTGGCGATGCTCATGAAATAGCATGGATTCAAAAATCAAATCTTTCTATTACATTGTGTCTTTTGTATCTATGTGGTTTTCAATTGAATAATCCACAGCTCATTCCAAAACATAAACAATTATTAGGGTAAACAAACCATCCAAAGTATGTAGTCGGCTTTGCTAGTATTTTCAACATAAATTAGAAGCTTTACTTCTGTTTTTTCCTTTGAATCACCATCAATGACCACTATTAGCAATAACATCCTTTTCTCAGTTTCCCATACTTCACTAAAAAGGTCTTAAAAGATATAACTATCACCAGTTGATATGCTCACTCAAATATTTTTCACAACGATATTCAAATCAGATAAGGTATAAACACAAGTTGGATCCAACTGATGTCATCGGTACTGGCTTGGAAGTAAACTTGTTCGCTGCTGAAGCCACTATGTTCAAGAAACAATCAGTGTAAGACTTTAACAATGATTTCGAATCCATTCTTCAGGACATTTTGTGGGCACATAAGGACCAGTTGGTAAGAAGAGACATGATTTTCAGATATCACACAAGAACGAAGAAAGAGACGCAGAGAAGACAAAACGTATTTAAAATGCGGAGATGACGGGCACTTGGCAATAGATTGCACAGATCAGGCCCTTGTGCTAGATTATACAGATGGTGACCATCCAAATTCCATATCCGTGTTCACGTAATGAAGAGAAGTGAGTGGAAAAACTCGACGGTGGCAACATGGACAACCGCAGGCTTTGTCCCAGAGTCATCAGCACCACGTAGCGCAGTCTTACGGACACGGTCAGCAGTTTATCGCTGGCAGACATAGGGGACCTGAGTATTACGGTTGCCCAGGTATGCACAGCTCTAGACCGGGGATAAGCATTCCATGGCACACGGGCAGAAGGGTATCGCCGTTACTAGAGGACAGTTACTTCACGCATGCCACAGGCATGGGAATAAGCTCCCGAGTGCTTGAGCTGACTTTTCCACAATCACGTTCTCAGCAAATCAACCGCATCAAGAAATGGAAAGTACTTGTCCGCACCTATAGCATGCGCGTGCTACTACAATTCTGTCGAGCGGTGTGCGAGATCATAGGACTTGAGATTACTTTTCTGCTCATTAGAAATGAAAACGAACGAATCGTGTTCAATAACGCGCTTGAAACATGGGACCCATTGAAATTACTTCGAAACGTCGCTAAAGTTGAATTTCGGGAGGCGACAAGGGACGAAATACCAGGGTACATATTTTATCATGGATCGTGGGACTATTACCACTGCAGAGGTTTTCTCTCAACGGTAAATTCTCTTGAAAGACATGTGGCTTTGTTGAAAGGATCTTTGCCATTGAATTTCACGGAGTCCATCCTTCTCCAGTATGAGAGATTATTGGCATATGCCCAGGCATTCAAATGTAATCCGGAGGTTAGAGCTGAGCTTGACTTGCCTACGGATATTAATGCAAAACTTCCACTTTGGGGGTGTCCAAATAACGTATTTCGTGCAAAGAATCTTCACCGGATAGAGGAAAACGTCAGTGCTGCCCACACCTGGATTCCATGCACCGACATACGTCATTTCAGGCGGTTTTGCAATCAAGCACTGCTCGAGCTAGAGAAGCAATATGAAGCTATCAACCGACATGCTTTAGAAGTCAACGAATTCATCAAACCAGAAGATAGATGTGAAGGCTTCTTTGGTCTAGCAGGATGGAAAGGCAAGATAAATCTAACTGGAGCTTACCATGGGAAAGGTAAAATTAGTGCAGATCCGAGATTGAGTACAAACGAGCAATACATCGAAGCCCACCGAGAATCTTTGAGAGAGGATTGGTGGGACCGAAGTACAGAGGCACTTTTACTTTTAGAAGAATATGCAGATTCTTTCGTTAAAGAACTTTCTTTTCAATTGCGTATTGGATGTCGCAAGTATGGTATCGCTTCATTGAACAATCATCTGCCGAGAGCAAGATTGCTTGAAAATCTCAAGGAGGCCTACAAATATCGGGCGTACAATAATTTTGTCAATGGTTCAAGGAAGCTGTGGATGATATGGATGGACAACTGATTGAGATTACGAAGGCGAGACAGACGATTTGAATACGAGAAAGATGAAGATACCAACAGGGTCATTCAAATTGACCATGGGGAGTTTGGATTCGTTAATTGGGTTGTAAATGAGCCAGACACGAGAGTGAGACTTACCATTGACAAAGCCAGATCCATGAGAATATATGATGTGAAGGAAAAATACTACTCCTAAGATCTCTGAGTGATGGTATCACACATTAGCAAAAGTTTATAGCGGTAATGAAAAACGTAATCAAAAATAAATTTCAAGTGCTATCTTCCTTAAATGTGAACCATCTGCCACTTCCATTGAAGATCCAAGTGACTGCACACTCTGAGAATAGTCTAAAGTGTCAATTATAATAGGACTGGCAATTGGCCGTCAATTCGAGTTGTATTATAAATTTATGCTTATTACCACATAGCTCTACGCCAACTGGACAGATTAATGAGACTATGTTTGAAGTAACCTTCAAAATGTAGCTCCAAATCGTCCTTCCATTTCTTCTTTTTCCAGAAGATTTATCAAAAGCTAGCCCAAATTTTAAGATACCAAGTATATATCATCCCATGTTGCTCTCTAATTACCCTAATCCTCAAGAACCAATCAGCCAAATAGTATGCAAATCCAGAGCATGAGACGAGATCAAAAAGATAATTGCTATTCAATATTCCCATTCACTATACACTGCCCCACCAAACGTACACCTACGCACACAATTAGTTTATCCCAATTGACAAAATATCATTCAGACCAATACAGCCACAATCTAGGTATCCATATTCTTTGGGCAACAGATCAGGAAGACACTGTTCATTACCATTAATACGGCATCACACTCTCACAAACGCACACAACCAAATCAAAAGCCTGACAGTGCATATTACTAAGCACTCTACCTTTTACAAGTAGCTATATCTCGCAAAACGGTCACTGTGATACTACACATTGATAAACTTGGGAAGCCCCCTATATACGGTAGGATACAGTTCGCTACTCCTACACATTCCTGAATAGCTACATAGTAACGGTACAGCTCGCTAATCATGTTGACTCCTTAGTACGGTGCAATACGGGTTTATGGTAGTCTGAGCAAATACTCCTCTAATACTCAAACCTCTTTCTGCTCCTCTTTCACTCGACTTCTTGTTCTGATATTTATCATTCATTTTCTTGATAACTGCATCAAGAAACTGTATTCGAATCCAAGTCAAATCCAAGGAATACGAAAGATTAACGGTCATCTATTACGGTGCAATACTGTACGATAGTCTAATTAGTGTCTCCTGTGGTTTCTCACAGTAATACTTAAGACTCCTTCCTCACGAGTCGAAAACACATCTTCTTCCGACATTGACTTCTTCTCAAAATCATCAAACATCAGGACTAATCAGAAAGAAACCCAAAATCAACCTCCAAATTCTACCAAGACGCATCTCAACTCCACATACATTGTTAGTTTCTACATCTGATAGAATCTAGTCATACGTCTTCCGGCTCATAAGAAGCCAATCTGACAGCAAGAGTGAAAGAATATCCAACATGCAGAGCCCCCGAAAGATTGCAAAGATGAAATCTCCAACCTCCAAACAACTCACCGGCAGCAACCAGTCAGCAAGACCACATCTCAATGAGCCCTCCTCATATAAAGATACCCCGCCACAGAGTCCCATCATATCAGGCATTCCATCTCGCGACTCCGACGCCCACATTCTGAACATGCCACGAGAAATCACTCACAAGATCTTTTCATACCTGCTCACCAACCCCATTCTCGGAACCGGTACCGCCATCACCACGATCGCAGATCCTGTCAAGAATGGGAAACGAGTGGTCAACGTACCCAAATACGAATTGCATCCCGCGATTCTCCGTGTTTGCAAGCAGATGTATCACGATGGCGTCTACATATTGTACCAGCACAATGAATTTATCATGGATTGCACTAATTGGATGTATCGGGATGATTCCAATGAGGAGCTGAGTGGAATCTATGAGTATGCGAGTAGTTATGACCACGATTACTTTCCCATCACGTCTGCTCTGAATGTATCACCATTGACTCGATATGCTGAGCATTCTAATGTGGCTCCCACTGAGCAGGATTGGGAATACCAGGGAAATGAGTTCTTTTACCAACAGCCAGCTTTTAATCGTCTCGTAGGTCCTCAAGCTCGGTATGTTCGGAAGTGGAAAGTGATCGTACGTGGAGATGAGGGGCATTATACACACAGATTCGATGAAGCTGCGTTGACACAGTTCTGTCATGCCATTTGTCAATGCCCAGACCTTTCGTTGTCTTTCATTGTTTGCATAGATAAGACATCGGAACAGACCCAAAAGGCAACTCGTGCGGATTTTGCTAGACATTTGAGTTTTGAAGAAGTATTCGCTCCTCTCAAGCTACTGAGAAACGTGCAAAGCGTGAAATTCAAGGAAGCACATTCCAATATTGATGAGGAAAAAGATGGAGAGGAGTATCCCGAGTCGCTCCCTGTCTACCTTGACGAGATTCATCAAATGGTTGACGAATCTGCAGCGACTCTTATATCGGGAGAAGAGAAGGACAAGTACCTTGATTTAATGAAGGGGTCTTCGCCATTAGCCGATCCCATCAACTTAATGTGCGACGAGCTTGTGGCATATACTCAAACCTTTGAGAGTGTGCCCGAGCTCAGACAGGACACTGATGTAGGCAGTCTAGATACTGCCAATCAACACAAAAAGTCATACAATACGCTTGAGGGTACTCTCCGGCAAGCACGAGTAGCAGTCTTGGTTGGAAACCATAAAGCTTTCAGAGCCTTACGCATGGAACTGCTGTTAGATATTGAAAACGATCAGTTTCAGAGAATCAAGCATTGTTTCTCCAAATTGAACCAATTCACTTTGCAGGATAGGGTCTTTCGTGGAATGCTATGCCAAGGAGAGTTCCATGACCGCATATATGAGGATCAGGGGTTTATGTTGGATCTCAACAAGAACTCGGCCGAGACACGTAACTGGAGAGAGAAGATCACCAAAGCTCTCTCTTTGCTGGAAGAGTATGCTGAATCTTTCGATATAGATTTGAACAAGAATTCTATATACCGCCTGGGATATCGTCTTCGAAACCCTGGAGCCTATGAAAAGGATCCTGCAAGAGAGAAGTTGTTGCGAAGAATCAGAAAAGCACACAAGTTTCGAGATTACGGCTTTTTTATGCACTGCTTCCAGAAGGCTGTCAACCAGTTGAATGATCAATACATCGAAATCCTCAAGGCTAAACAAAATCTCTTCCGATGGGACACAAGACCTGCTCCAAGAGGAATTGACATCCCTGCTGGGGATCTGAAGTATATTGTTGATCCTGACGTCGAGCCGGTGGCATGGACTATTCGCGATTTCGACTATAGTTACAAGCCAGGGAAACGAGCACGAGAGACTACGAAGCAAACGCCGTCACCTGCAAAGAAACAGCGTCGTTCAAGATAGAGCATAGTGGTGGAGCATTCCCATGTGGATCGAAATAGGATCGTGGATTTCTGTGTCTTGAGGCTGGAATTCGAGCGATTTCTTGCGACGAATGTGTGATCTCGGAGTAAGGGGTTATAAACTTTTAGTGCAGACTAGAAATTGCAATTGCCTCCAGCTGATCATGATACTTTCAGATTCAATTCAATCAAATATAAATAGATGAAGTAGCAATTGTGAATTGAATAAAGCGTAAAGCGAAGTAAATTGAATCAAATTGAAGTGAAACGATAATATGTAATTTGAAAACTCTAGGTTTTCGTAAATAGAAAATGTGATTGCTAGAATACGCACGCTATGATTACTAAGCTCCCTCGACCTTCGAATCAAATCCTTTAACAATGAAAGGAAAATCCCACACTCATTAATAAAAACATCAGAATACCTCCCCCACACCATATCCCTTACAACCTTCCTCGTATCCAAATTATCGTGTCATAAGGAATCTCTAATCCTGACAAACTCCAAATATCTAGTTTTAGTCCATCGTCTACAGCTCTTTCCAAATACCATCATTGGCCATGTACACATAACGAATACGAAATCCAAGACACCAATCGCGATGAATGTCTGTTTAACTCCAGTATCCAACCAATAACTCGCTGCAAATGTAAAGATACATCCAATGGTGTTGTTTATGACACTAACTCCCACCATACCCTCGAGTACCATTTCAGGATATGCATCCATGAGGTAAGACATAGATAAATCTCCCGCACAACCCCATCCAAAACCAATGAATCCAAGCCCGACGTATGGAGCTGGCCAAGACCATTCGAATGCTGTACCGAGACCGAAGATAAACATTCCCAATGGTGAGAATATAGCACATGGATACATCATCCACAGACGATCTTCCGCTTCCAGAATACCATGACGATATTTCTTAGAGTACCAAAGTACGAAAACATCCGAAAGATAACCACCCCAGAAGCAACCAATGATGGCACCGATCAAACAAGGAACATTCATAAGACCAGAGCTAACAGTGTTGTAGTTCCAAGGAGCCTCTGTCCAGTTGTCTTCTTCAAGAGTAAGATAGAAAGTAAGCCAGGCGTCTTGAGCTCCCCATTGCAGACCACTATACCAGACAGCTGGGAAAGTGAAGATACGGAGAGTGTGGAAGAGACGAGAAAAGTATTGTTTGAATCCAGTTCCCCTGAGGTTAGACGCGGGTGTAATTAGTTGAATGCGTTCGCGGAAGGACTTCTTGACGGGACCGGTCGAAGGTGGGATAGGAGGTGTGTCGGAGGGAGTTGTGGCTAAAACTGTATCTTTCTCGTTGCTGTTACGAACTAGAGATCCCTCGACCTTGGTTTGGGACCCAACACCATCGATTGGAACTTCGTATGCAGATTCGGGGCGGTCAAACATTGTCTCTTCGAGGGTGAAGTAACACACGAGTATGGTGCATGAGGAGATAATGACGGACCACCAACCAATCCATCGCCAGCCTAGAGGTCCCCCAGCAATATATCCAGCAATAATAGGACCCAGATAGGTTCCAATACTAGTCGACAAAACGTATATACCGAGAACCGTTCCTCTTTGATGTTGGAAGAACAAATCCGAGAGGGAAAGCTGCACATTGGCCTCGGCACAAGCTTCAGATGCTCCCACAAAAAGTTGATTCCAGATCGAGTCGCTCGTGGATTGCACGCGAGCCATCCATATAGCGCCAACAACTCCCAATGTCAAACAAATGATATAAGTAACCCTTCTTCCGTATAACCACGCAGCAGGCGAGATCAACAAAGTCCAATAACCAATTCCCACAAACAAAACTCCAGCCCCAGTATTCATTGCGTCGTAAGTGATTCCATATTCCTCATTCATACCATCTTGCGCCGAGCCCGCATCGTTCGCAGTAGCAGCCGTTAGACCTGTAATGAAACAAACCAGAAAAACATGCCAATATTTTCTTGTGCGAGACCAATTGAGTGGATCGAGCGGCGAGGAGGTAGGCTGTGGTTCCAAAACAATATTCCCATGTTTGAGAAGGTTGGAATTGTTGGATTGCTCGATATCTTCTACCAGTCGTGTGGTACCTGGGAGGAAATCTTCACCGTGCATGTGAGTTGGGTCCATCGCCGATAGCGATTTCTATATCGTGGCTAAACCACGACAATAGAGCGACCTGATCTTTGCGGATAGTCAATGATTGACTTGTGAACAATCGCAACACCAAACAGGAGAATAGAGAGTAAGGAAGGAAATGGAATTGAAGGGAGAAGACTTTAGGTAAGATGACGAAAGTAGGTACAATTGACAAACCTTAGGAAAATTGTATAAAGTTATAAGAATTTCCACTTGGATGTCTTATCTGTGCGAATTCCCACATTATCATTATGAGATGAAAACTCTAGGGTTAAGGTTGGGAATTAAACAATTTTTTTTTTTCGTGCCCGATAAGAGGATCGATGATCGAATTTCTCTCCACGCACGACTTACCGAAGTGTGTACGACACATGCCATGATGGTGTATTGTCTTTCCATAATTCTGGGGTAAAATGAATGAGAGGGAGACCTAGAAGATCTGTCGCCGGTGAATATGTTTATTCGTATTCTCCGACTTATCAGGATTGACATTGGGTTGGAAACAAAGCATGGGATGTTATCTGAAATCAGTTTGAATGTCGGAGGTGCAATCAGAGTTGGGATGAATAAGTCAGGTCTCAATGGATTGACTGAATTGTGCTCCGTATTTGGTGGAGCCTTATCAAAAGCTTGTATTGGAGGGAATTGCCATATATCATATACCGATTGCTTGATTGTATTCTATCCATATTTAACTTTTGACTAAGCTACACTTACTGTCTACTAACGATCGACTAACGTGATTTGCCGTTCAACATTGAACTCTGTTGTCATGGTAGTATTTACTGGGCATCCATCATTGTGCTTCTTCACCCCGTCGATCAAGATAAAAATAACCCTATGGTCAATACCATCATCGAAATGTAGAGATACTTACTATACATACATACCTACCTACTTGCCACTTGTTGGGTGAGTTGATGGGCTCGAGATGGGTAACATACAGCGTATATTTCATCTCTCGGCCATCTCCCCTTCATTTATCTCCTTGTCTTTGTGATCCTGTCGAGCCTGCTTAACTATCCTGACTCTACGAACTCGATCTATCAGTTCGGACAGCTTGCTTGTACTTTCTCTCTTCAGCTTAGTAACGATATGACGGGAAGACCAACAGGACCCTGAACTTCCATCTCCCACTGTACCGCCTAGACTTACCAAGACAGGATCTGATGTACCGATACGATAAGAAGGATACTCGGTTTGCAGGAACGATAAGACATTCTTTGACCACCAACTCGCAATCGATCCAATCTCGTCGGTCCTGCAATCTCTCGTCCAATGTAAAAGCAATCATCCAATCCAAAAAGCAATCAAATCCATCCTGCTCAAGACCTGGACCTCGGGAGAACCGCATGAACCGCACGTAATCTCGCCCTACGTCCACTGAGCTATCATCATTGATGTCAGGTGGTCGAACACTGCATTTGATAGTTACACTCCGCCGCTGCAAAGGAATGAAGTTGTCTTGATTTATCTTTGAATACAGTCATGGAATGATATCATCCTCATCCCTTTACTTTTCGAGTTCGTAATACGTGAATGCATGCCAGATAGGTTTCGTTGTTGAGAACATTAGCTTAATAAGGTGGATCAATCATATGATCATACACTAAGTATATTTTACATTGCTCATCGCTCCCGTTCTCTTCATCTTTTCCTCTCATCCAAGTAACCACCACAAATCACTACTCTGCAGAGTTTCTCATTCCAGAATCTTTGATTGCTAAAATCATACGGCATACATCTGCAATTGACCTGACTTAACAGCTTCGGAGAACCCTGCAACAACTACAACAAACTTTCGCAGATTCTCATCGACCAGCATTTTTGCTATTTTGTACCGTCCACTCGTCGACGTCGATTTACAATACGCAGCTCGTCGAGCATAGCCAAACACACCCACCAGTCCCCAAACATACGCAGATGTTGAATCAATATGTCAACCTTATCCATATCTCATCCTGGCGCTCTAAATCCAAACGAAATAAACCGGTCATATCAAGTAATTACCGCGCCATTGCCAATCCAGAACTCGAAACCTTTGATCTGGTCCACAGGACTTGAAAGTCCCGACAATTATGGCAATGGCGTAAAGAAGGCCCACGTAATTATCGTGGGTGCCGGTATTTCCGGTTTACGTGCAGCATCGGTCCTACAACGTCATGGAGTTGGTGTAACAATCTTGGAAGGACGACCAGATCGCATCGGTGGTCGAATCCACACCAGTCGCAAATCTCCAAACGGGAAAGCTCGAGACATTGGTAAATACACCTGACCTAATAGGCAGAACAATATCTTCCGTTGTGGGTGGTTGGGACTACGGTCTTGACCACACAATGTGGGTTGTTTATCCTTTCCCCTGGCAAAAGTGTGCTTACTATATATACAGGTGCTGCATGGATGCACGAAACTTCGCAGAATAAATTAGTTCAGTTGATCAAGAAGCTCGATATCGAGTACTATTATGACGATGGTACACCTCTGTACTTTACCAAGGAGGGAAGAGCAGGATCTCAATTCAAGGCGAAGAAAGTCGCTGATGAATTTGCTGACTACTGTGAGCACTACTTTGAAACTCATCCTCATGCTCCTGATCGCTCTGTGAAAGAGTTCATTCATGAATTCGTAGAGAATCATCCTTTGATCACTAACAGTGAACGCAAATGGGCTCCCCAAGCCATTCGTGAGGTAGAACTTGTGAGAAATCCCAACGCTCCAAATTACAATGCAAAACTAACATCATAATTGTAGTGGATCGGTACATCCATCGAAGAAGCCTCTTCTAAATACTTGAGTTACTTTGTAACAGAGAGAAATCTATACATGAAAGGTGGATATGATAAAATTGTCAATTGGGCTGCCAGACCCCTTCAGAAGGACCCCGAGACGATCAAACTTGGAGAAATCGTCAAGAGCGTCCAATGGGGTGAGAGCGACAACTCGATAGTGGTTGAAACTTTGAAAGGGGACAAGAAGTCTACTTTCAAAGCTGATGCTATTGTTGTCACCGCACCTCTTGGTTGTTTGAGAAAGAAGATGATAAACTTCGAGCCAGCGCTCCCTGAAGATATTCAAGAGGGTATTGACAACTTTTCCTATGGAGCCCTTGGAAAAGTTTTTGTCGAATTTGAAGAGGTGTTCTGGCCAAAGGACAATGATCAATTCATCTATTACCCGTCCCCTCTCCCAGAGGGTACTCCAATTGATGAGTAAGCAAATCATTCCCAAGCTATCGATTTCTAAGACTAATTCCAAATAGGTCTTCAATCTTGTCCTATGCCACTGTGACTTCCAATTGTTGGATCATGTCTGGTACCAAGGAGCTCTGCATCCAAATCGCCGAACCTCTTACCCAACGAGTTGAAGCCATGACCTCAACCAAGGACATCTATGCCTTTTTTGAGCCGCTGTTCAAACTCATGCGTACAGAACCCTACAAAGACCTTCCTGATCTCGTCAACCTTGAGACAACCCACTGGACCCAAGACCCACTCGCAGGATTTGGATCCTATTCTGTCGAGAAAACCGGCGACGAATCCGAACTCTTGATCGAAGCCCTCGAACATCACAATCGCAGTCGTCTTCAATTCGCCGGTGAACATTGCACCATCGTCGGAAATGGTTGTGTCCACGGAGCATTCGAGACGGGAGAGGTTGCGGCTAGGAACCTCTTGGAAACACTCGGAGTTGCATATGATGGGAATGATACTACGGCTCGAAGTGTCTCCCCTTGAGCGTAAGCCTTTCTCGTGTCTAAGAGGTGAGATGAGATGAGAGTGATGACTTGAACTTGCTACGTATTCCTTAAATGGCTTTCGTGAGACTTGTTGGTTTTTTTGACTTTGTGCGTCTTGATTTATTTGATTTTTAGTTTTTGCTCTTTTTAGTAGTTATATCATTGTTGCTACAGTCATTACCGTTATCATAGCTATGGCTATTATATTTGCTATTACTTATACAAATTAACATACACATCGCGATACTACTCGTTCCGCTTTACTCCAAGAGATCGAACGTGAGTTGGCGCGTCTACTTTGATTTTGTATCTTGAGACAAGATAATTTGGGGAGTTGGTATCTGCCTCTTTCCATTTTCACACCATCATTGCTCGCTTGGTGTCTTGTTTTCGTCTCTTTACATAACACTGTTATCGTATGAATACTCGACTCTCTGTAATTGAGAAGCTTGTTGTGCTATCTTGGTATGAGGTAATAGTAGTGTTTTTCACTGCGCGAGACCTCATCTCAGGGTCATGTATAGTATGCTCACCTCTTCCGCCCTAGATATAGTTAGACATCAAACAAAAGTCTCTGGTGTACAAAATCCGAATCATTGCTATAAAAAAAAAGCTATGTAAAACACGAGCTTCGCACTGATGCCATCAGTTCGTTTTGTAAGATCTCACATTTTTAATAATACACCCCTCACTGGTATAAAATTTCATTTGCTGCATTGGATGGAACGTATTCGACGTAGTTGATAATCATAATCCTACCGAGGGGGTTTATGTCGTACCCCCTCCGAGTCTGAGGCTCCGTGGGAGAAATCTTGGGAATGCTTGCTGTGATTGAAGTTATAAAGTGATGAATAGAAGGACTTGTGTGGTAGGGGTGGGAGTGAGAGTGAGTGTGAGAGTCGAATGTGGAAGTGAGGAATTCGGTTTATGTGTTATTATATCGGAGAGATGAGGTTTGGATTTGGAGAATCGGAAGGTGGTAGATAGATGCATAAAGAGAGAAATGGTGATCATCGACGCGGTTTCTGCTTGGGAGATAGATGGATGGCTATGTAGTTGTAGTTGTAGATGGGAATGTTAGTTGCTGGGCTAGGGAGGTAAACTGGGTAGGTCTCGAGGTGGGGTATTGTGTATTTATATCAGATGATATTGATATTTCTACATTGTCTCTTTTCTTAATTCATTTCTTCATCTTATATACATGTACACATAGATCGTATCATCTAAATAATAAAACAAGTACAAACGCTCCACTTCTCTTCATTACTTATCTACTTCCTTCCCCGGGATCTCTTCATGAACAGGCCTCTTCACATCTAAGGTAACTCCATAAACAACTTCAACAACTTGGGATAATTTGGAGTTCCCAATCCAGTTGCTGGATCCCATCCCTCTACCGCTGCGAAACCCTCAGTTCCACATCCGACATTCGTTCCATTAACAATATCATGCAACGCTCCTGGATTTTTGTAAAGGGTTGGATTTACAAATCCAATTGGTCCCTTGCCCTTTGCGGATCTCTCTTCGTTGATCAAGTTAAAGACTGATGCGAAGAGTGGAGATGCAAGACTGGAGCCGTACCAATGCTCATTGATCCCAGCAGTATAGGCTCTGAATTCTGCACCGTTGGCGGCAATATCTGGGTAACCACGTCCGATACGGTTGTAGATACCCTTTGTTGTGTTGACATTGACTTCAAATTCCGAGTAGTATGGGTATGTGAGGTTAGCCCTTTTGAAGTATTTCTCTACTGCAGATTTCTGGTAGGATGGGATGGGGAAATAGTTGGAGAAACCACCTGCACTGGTGAAGTTTGATGCGGTACCGCTGAGGTTCACGTGCATGACGGATTCGGCATCATTGACTGTTTGATCGGCGTAGAGCATGGTTCCGCCAACGGAAGTGATGTATGGACAGTTGCCTGGGTATTGGGGGTTGAAGATTTTGCCCTCGGGACCGAGACATCCATTTGCGTTGCCATCACCAGGGAAGGAAGCAACTCCATAATCACCGGATGCGGTCAGGATTGAGTGACCTTGAAGACCGAGTTTCATGAATTCGTTGCATTGACGTTTTGTATAGGCAATCGGTAGATCGGCTTCGGCTTGACCATATGATGCAGAAATGACCTTGGTAGGTTTGAAGATTCCACATTGGCGTGTTCCGTTGTACCCACCAGGTTGGGGATCAGGGTAAACGGGATCGATTGATGGGTCATCTCCGGTCTCGCCGTATGCGCTGTAGCTGCAGTAGGACTAAGGGAAGGTTAGCGATGATTTCGTTGTAAAATTCAATGACTTACTCCGTCAAGTGCATCGAGGAAAGTATTGAACAAATTGGTTGTAGCAACTTCTTGTGGCTCGTAGATTTGATCATCCACTTGGTAGAGGGTGACAGTCTGAGGATAGATAAGAGCAAATGCCATATCAATATCGATGTCAGATTCGCCTCCATTCAGTGCACTGGAGGCAGGTGCGGAGAAATTTGCACCATCAATGAGTGCCGGGACGGGGTAAGTTCCTTGAGGAACCCAAGGAGCGTACTCGGCATAGAAGAGATCAAGATCTGACTTGGCAAAGTAATCTCCTTGCTCGTATAATCCGAGAGAGTTACCTGAAGCATTCAAGGTGGCAGTGGGGATCTTGTACATGGCCTTGATACAAGTGGGTGTCATGTTCGAACCACAATCTTGAAGGTCGCTTGGAAGATTGGCAGCTGAAGGTGGTGTCGACTTATTAATTTCTGCAGACGGATTGCCCTTTGCAAGACGATTCTTTCTCTTGGAAAGGTGAGGTGTGGATCTCTTAGTTTTCACGCTTCGCTTCTTGACTGGTGCAAGCTTGATACCAGGTGTGATGTAATCAATATGTGGTACGATATGCTCTGGAAGATGGTACCTGGACTCAGGTTAGTAAAGAGTCTTTCAAATTATTGTAAACAATCGTACTCATCGCATCCGACTCGAACACTTGAACTAAATTTGTGTTCGTGTTCGTGAAACTCGGCATTGAGTAAACGTTCAGCTTCTTCAACTGAAGCATCAAATGCTAACCACCCTTTATTTTCATAATGAGAGATTCGAGAATGATGAATTCCGGACGACGCAAGCCAGGCTTTGACCGACTTGAGAGTTTCCTCTGGAGGAGCGAACTTGTCGTGGACTTCTTTTGGGGACCAATATTTGCCATAATTAGCAGAGTCTGGATCAGAACTAAAAGTTATTGGTATCAATTGATGCAATCGAGCTCCTCCCTCTGGGGCAATTCAACAAGAGACTTACAGCTCCATAAGGTATTCATAGCCATTGTCAAGATTGGTTTGTGTCAAACCAATTCTCATTGGCACAATTGCACTTCCTTCCAATCGGGAGCCCTTCACCCAGTCCGATGGTGGTGCATTTCGCTTTTCATGCACTACATGCTTGACTGAGGAGGGAGCAGCATTCACAACTGCTGCAATAGCAAGAGAGACAACAGATACTGGCACCAACATGTTGAAGCTTTGAAAGAAAAGACAGAAGCGTGAAGAGGATCATGTTGAAAGGAGCGGAAAATGGCTCTTTTAACTTGTCTGGTGATCGACCATTTGGTCGTATAATTTTGAGATTAAATCTAATTGTACATGATAACATGCAGTACCTCCTGCAGCTTTCCATGCTTGAAATCGGATAAGAATGATAGTTATGGATCTCGTATATTGTGCCGATATCTAATCAGGAAGGTCGTGGAGCGGGGAAAGCATGGAACCCCATCTTTGCTACCACCTCACCAATAATGATTGGCGGGATTGATCTTATTGTACCTGAATGAGAAAGCTTATCATATTGATGAGGACGGGATGTGTTCCTGTACTGAAGCTTTCCTGCAGTACCTGGGCCAAGATGCTGGACAAGCTTTCATTCTCCGAAGCTTGTTCTTTGCCGTTTACCGATGTCAATTACCTGATTCTTGGCTGTAAGCAGAGGTGCAACGGTAATGGTACGATTCGGATATTCGTGATATGGCCGCGCGTCAAAGTCATTATGGTTGAGATAATAGATAATCGAGCGTTGCGTGAAGCACACCAATTTTGGACAAGATGCTAAAAGGAGTACTGGGAGAGTCATTTCGAACCAAGTGAAAGGGCAGTTTTCCTCACCGGACGTTGGTAGCTAGCTTAATCTGAAAGCTGCAATTCATTTGAGATAAGACCAGGGATCGAATTAACGTTTTGAAAATTGTCTTCATAAATCTTGATGACAAATTTGATCGATTCTTGTCCATAATACAATCCAGGCTGTTCACATCGGATCAAATTTGTGATTGTCCCACGGGCCCAAAACATCGACACTGTACGAGTATCATCTGAAGAATAACAATACCAGGACGACAATGTTTCACCGAACATTCTTGAGCCACAACCACAGCCACGCCACACGCGAACAAGCGGCGCTACCTAGCACTTTATCCGCAAATCGTGTAGCGACTTGCGCGTACTGGAAAGAAACAATCTCAAGTATTATTTTCATCCTTCTTAGCAGTGAAAGGTCTAGAGAGAGGAGGATGTTTCTGCATATATTAATATCTTGAAGCATCTGGATTAGCTCGATCATTTCTAAGAGATCCTCGAAAAGAAATCGCGAAAGTTGCGAAATTCCACCTCCCAAACACGGGTCAGAACGGAACAACAAAGATATCGTGAGTCAGTATTCTTCGTGTCATATGTCAGAAGTCCGTATAAAATAGATCTTCGACCTCTATCACTATAGAAGTTCAACTCCTTCCCCCCTTAAGAAAATCGAAATGTCTCTTTCCATGTTCACCGTTTCGAAATTGCTTGTGCCCACCGCTGTTGTGGGGTTGGGTATCACTATATATCTTCAAGATCGCCCACTGTCAGCCGCAAGGACGGCCACAATAACATCATATCAACAATTATTGCCCTCCTTTAACAGCAGCTCACAATTATTTTTCTCGATAATCAATCCAAGAAACCATATCCGTATTACAGATTCTTACAAAGTTCCATTATCTAAAGCCGACATTCGAGATAGGACTGATGAAGAAATTTGGCAACATTTAGCCGCGGATTCTTCTCAGGTTGGATCTTTACCCCTGAACGGTATCTCATAGCTTCATTGCGATTCTTTGGCATCAAGTTTATACCTTGTGGGTATTCAAGTCAGTATTGTGTGTAGTTTTATATCAAGAATAATGCTCAAATAAAGATACAGAAATCTCTCCAGGACCAATATTGGAATTAGAATCACTATCTGACAAAACACTACCCCCGAAAAATTCTCTTCTGCTTGGCGGTAATTTTATGGTTCTATACACTAAACCCGAGGATGATAAACCTCGAGACTGTCCCAGTTGCGTTAAGATTGGATATGGAGATGACCGGAAACAATTTTCGGGAATGCATAGTTTTGAACTCATTCATGGAAGGGACGGAGCTACAATTTGGTATTCTAGTGTATCATGCAATCCCACCATTAACAAAAGACTATTTCCAAATTGGGTATTTGCATTTCATAGATGGTATGCAAGAACCTTGTTTAGGGACGGAATTGCAGCAGTATTGGCGACAGAATGAATGAAAGAGCATTGGTTGCAAGTAGTACCCAGCTTACAGGAGAGAGAAGGGGCAACCCACCATCACATATCAATTTTATAAGCCTTCTCAAATTTACGATATATACACCGTTTAGGCAGTCACTCTTCAACCTATGCTGAATTTCTCTTGTCTTCTCTCATCAAGCATGGAATCATACTTTATTGTAAGATTACAACAGAAGAAATTTGCAAGAGCGATCACATCCACAACGATCGAGTTCTTATTTAAACAAAAACTTCATATTCTCATCATCTCATTTACAAGTCCTGTATACCATTCTTATGACACCCTATATATACTGGATAGTGAAATCATTGTTACACATCTTTTACAAAATCACTCAAACCCAACCTAATCATACATCATCATCCTCCCACAGAAAAAAATCAGAAAAATCATGACAGTTGCAACTTCAACCTCATCCACTCAGAAGGCTCTCGATATCTTTTGGGATACTAAACTCTCATCTGAAGAAGCAATCCCCCGACGTGAGCTTACCATTGTCCAATTTAGAAATCATTAAAATCTTACTAATTGGCCACTTTCAGCACCCAATGTTCTTCCTAAACATGTATACGAACGTCTGCTCGGTGAAAATAAACCAAGCAGTATAGTCTCTGGATGTAGTGTCAATGTCTCATACGATTTAGCTGTCAAACAATGCGAAGCCAAGGTTGCTGCCATCGTAGCAGAATGCCAACGGAATAACACCAAATACAGTGACAACGAATTCAACCTCGATGATATGGAGTATTGCCTCAGATCTCTCACACTTACAGAACAAGACACAATGAGTGAAGGAGAACATACAAGATTAAGATCTTCGAAGAAACCCATGGCTGCGAGGACAGTCATTACACGAGCAGAAACCTTCAATCTTACCGCGCCTCAAGTGCGAGAGCCAGCTTGTGCAAAGAGAATAAGTGCGATCTTCGATGCCCCAAAATTCTTCACTGGTCATGAAGCCCATGTACAAGATATACGACAAGGATCAGAAGGAGATTGTTGGTTCATATCGTCTCTTGCATGTCTAACTGTAGACGAAGCATTTCCGCGACTCATCAACAAACTTTGCCCGGAAAAAGCACGAAACGAAGAAATTGGAGTGTATGGATTTGTGTTCTATCGTGATGGAGAATGGGTGTCAGAAATCGTCGATGATAAGCTTTACCTTACAAATCCCGATTACGATGATTGCAATGATGATAGAAGATTGGTGTGGGATCGTTCTCATGGAAGAATTGACCCGGAAGCTTCTCGTGAGGACTATAAGAAGACTTTCCAAACCGGCTCGGATGCATTATTTTTTGGTTCTTGTGCTGATCCAAACGAAACCTGGGTGCCACTTATTGAGAAGGCATTTGCCAAAATTCATGGCGATTATGAATCAATCAGTGGGGGCTGGCCTGGGTGAGCACTACTTTACTGCACTCATTCTGTAAACATGACACTGATCAATTAATAGTGAGGGTGTCGAGGATCTTACCGGTGGTATTGCTGCCCAGTTTCTTACCGCTAACATACTTAATAAAGATTCATTCTGGACTGAAGGTCTTTTGAAAGTCGGCAAAGATTTTATATTCAATACTGGTACAAGGGATTACGACCACCCTGATCCATATCAACTAGGAAGGCAAGGTATCGAAGATGATCATGCTTACTCTGTTCTTAGAGCAGTTGAGTACCAAGGAAATCGTCTTTGCCTCGTGAAGAATCCCTGGGGTGAGACTGAATGGAATGGCCCGTGGTCGGATGGGTCTAAAGAATGGACCCCAGAAGCACTTCATGCTCTTAATCATAAGTTTGGCAATGAAGGTATCTTCTGGATGCCTTATGAAGATTTTCTCGATCGATATGATGAGATCTGGAGGACGAGAATATTCCATTGTGATTGGTTCAATTGGCATGTTGCCCAACATTGGACTACTGTTAACGTATCTTGGTCGGATGAGTGAGTGATCCAATTGTTGTACCCTATATTTTCTTGGAGCTTATATACGTGTTATCGTGCTGACTCTGCAGTTACAATGAAATTTCATTTCACTTTACAATTCCAGTCCCAACCACAACAGTGATAGTTCTCTCACAACTTGACACTCGTTACTTCGGTGGTCTTACGGGTCAATATACTTACTACCTCTCTTTTCAGCTCCATAAACCAGGCCAGAAATGTCAGATTGCTCGCGGCTACTCTAGTGGTGATCGTTCCGCTGCCACTGAAGTGTTCCTCGAAGCGGGTACTTACGAAGTTTATCTTAAAATAACCGGGTATCGTGATGATACACTTCCGCGGGTTGAAGATATTGTCAAAGATAATTGGCTTGCTAGAAGGGATAAACTAATCCAAATTGGTTTAAAGCATGATATGGCCTATGCTAAAGGTGTGATTATGAATGACTTTCCGAAGAAGAATAAGAGAATATCTCTCGCTACGCCAATTACTCTTACCACGCCTTCAGTACTTACACCACCTCCAACTTCGCTCCCAGCGCCCGCTCTTCCCTCTCTCAATGACGAAGCAGATATGGCCAAAGATGCTTGGAATGCATCATGCGTTGTAGGCCTCAAGATCTACACACATGAGACGATAGCATCGATTGGCATAGGAAAAGCAGCGGATGCAGTCAAGGTTGGTATTAGTCCAGATTTGACAGAGACGGAACAGGGTATTCGTAAGCTTTTCTCTACACTTGACATTAAATTTTCAAGTAACTTACGAAAGGTCAAGATCAAGACGAAAAAGAAAACTTTTCGGATTAAGTGGAACTTCAAGAACAAGAGGTGGAAGGAGGAGATACCGTTGAGTAATGGAAGAAAAGAATTGTGGAATGGAAAGGTAGACGCAAAAAGGCAGACGAAGAAAGAAAAAAGAAGGGAGAAAAAGGGGAGAGTCAAAAGAGAGTCGAGGAGGCAAATTGATTGAGAGGGTCATGCCTCTCTCATTGAGTTGGTGGGAAAATTGATTTGCCTGTAGCAGAACTTTGTAAGTTTCATCAAAACATTAATAAAACAGAACCTTTATGATGACCTAGTAAATACGCTTTCACGAAATCGATCTGTGGTCGATGGTAGAATGTATAACCATGATCCCATCAACACTAACGAATTCATGTACTGTCCATGTGAATCAGCACTGGTTCACGTAGAGTTCTTGAATTTTGATGTCAAGAGAGTAATTTCCAGACCGATTCCATAGTATGTGCAGACTTTTCACTATTTATGCCCACTGTTACCGAAAATTTGGTAGACCAGCCCGTCCCGACGTGACCAGGTCTTCCAAAAAAAAGGTCTCCAGAATTACTAGGTACCGACATAAATGTCTTCAAACGACGGAAACTTGATGTTAGAAACTAATTTTGTGGATGATTTACAAAATATATAAAAGAAAGGGAATTATCGATCATTGGTATCTCATCCTACATCCATCACATCACACATCACAAATCACATTCAACGATTAATATCTCATTTGCATTTACGTAAAAAGTTGGAGTTGGTTAAATAAAGAGTAGAGTATTCAAAGGTATCATATCAATCGCACCGATTTACATTCAAAATGGCACCGCAACCAAAGTCCTCATCTAATAAATCTGGAGCTCCTGCTCCGAAGGTGCACCAGGTGTTGCCTATAAGAGAATCCCCGAAAACAGAAAACGAGCCAACATCAACATTAGCACCATCCGGTTCAACAAAATCAAAAAAATCAAAAGCTGAGACACCCAAACCAAAGCTTGTCAAGAGAAAGACGGGTGTTAAGCCACCGGAGGGGAAAGAAAATGGCTATGAAGCTGATGCGGAACGGGGGTACTAGTAACCTTGAAAAGGCTTCTTATTGGAAAGAGGATTAGTGAGAAGAATAAGGTGGCGCTGGCTTATGGGATAACGGATGGGTTTTGGGTGATGGAGACGAAGATGGGGAATATGAGGGATAGGAGGGGCGAGAGGGGAGTTTGGTAGATGAAACTATGGGTGTAAATTTAGCTATACACTGATGTTAAGTGGCTCGTAATATTACTCAGAGGTTATGCCTCCATCTTGTGCACATCTTTTAGGGGATGTCTGTCTGGAATCTATGTGTATCGTGGTATTGGTTATTAGAGGGGGTGAAGTGAGACTGAAAGTATACTTGGATATCCTGAATTTTCTTTTTGAGATACCTTGGATATATTTTCAAAGTTTGTGCCAAACTTTTGGTGTTCTCTTACTTGGTGAAATGGTCAAAAATTGCGTTTGTGAGATGATAGAAGCTCATGTCTCTTCGCTCATAGTTGTTAGTTTAAATTTCGATGTTGAGTCTCTGGTAAAAGTGTGGGTAGAAGATTCCAGAGATAGTGGTCATGATCACAAAACTTGACATCTCATATATAGAATCAATCATAGATATATAGTTCAAATTCATCGCCTAAAAAATTACCATTACTCCTATCTAGCTCACCAATGCAGACCCTAGGATTATCAATCTCGAGTTCCATTATTCATTCTTTTCTCTTATACCTTCTCCGCGGTAGGATCTAAATGTCTCAATGCACTTCCTGTCAAGTACAAACTTCCCGTAACCAAACATTCCATAGCATGATTTTGATAGCCGATTTTTGTGGCCAAGTCGATTGCAGCTGCATTGTTTGGTTCGAGGAGAATACTGGAGTTTGGAGACAGTTTTTGCCATGTTTGGGCGTAGGAACGCATGGCGGAGATGTCTGAGTCTGTGATTTTTGAGGCTGGGGTAGAGTGTGTTAGTATTGATTAATTGTATGTGAGAGAAGTTGTGAAGAAAGGGGGGATAGAAAATGATGGAGAGGGGTACTTACTATCATCCCAATCAGTTGTAAAAATGACATGTTTAACTTTACACCTATGCTTGTCCAACGCCTTTGCAAGACTCTCCACCACTTTCTCGCCATCTCCTCTTGCCCGATGTCCAAAAACAACGACCTTTGGATTCCCCTTTTCCTCACAATTAAAAACTGTTTGTTTCAATCTTCTTATTGCATATGAGAAAGGGGAAAGAGTCGCTTCTTCGCAAACACTCATTGCAAACCATTCTGCAGCTTTGGGGATTGTTTGGAAATGATGCGCGCCATCGAGAAACCAGGAATTTTGTCCTACTTCTAATCTTTGAAATCGGCCGGGCCAGAAGAATCGATCGAGTCCGATTGAGATGTCTTCAGAAGAGAGGGGTGGATATTTTTCACTAAGGAGGGACAGGAGATATGCATCTATGAGAGCGAGGGCAAGGGAGCATTCGGATCTTTTGATGTCGGTTTTGAGTGCATGGGCGGTGATTGGAAGACGATGATCTTCAGTTACAAAGTTCAGCGCAGCGCCCTTTTCATTAGCACGTGTCTCGAGAACTTTTCCTATCTCAGATCCTTGAGGAATAGAAAATGCAGGGGCATCAATTTTCATAATGCCTCCTGCATGCCAAGCTAAGTCTTCAGAAGAAGGGCCACCTTCCTCGATGTGATCTGCGTTGATCTGTGCGATGCCCACAGCTGTTGGCTTGACAAAATTGGTAGCGTCCGTTTCACCTCCACAATGAGTTTCCATAATCACCACATCAACATCTTCACCCATGAATGTATAGATAGCGACCAACAACCTCAATTGCATGAAGTCCGGCATCATTGTCTCAGCAAATTTGCTAGAAAGTATCTCCCATACCTGGAAGAAATATCTAGCAAATTTATCTTCTGATACTGGCTTTGCGTTGATCTTGATTGGCTCACGGATGTTAGGAGAGTAGGGATTGGTGTACAGACCAATCTTCCTTAATACACCTGTTCTAGAAGCGTAAGATGAGAGGAAAGATTTTACGAACATGCAAGTGGAGGCTTTGCCTTTCGTTCCCGCAATGTGAATTACGTTGAATTGTCTGTGCTGTAGGGAATAGTTAGAAATGATCCCCAGCATCGAAAGAGACTACTCACAGTATATCCAAGTGCTTCAAGCCACTCATTAATACCATCATTGCTGGGCTTGGTTGGATTACTTCCTAATGTACTGAGTCTGTTATTCTTTGGCTCAACGGAAGAATCTTCTCCGTCACTACTGCCACAACCTGTTCTCCTGAGTAACTGAGAGGCTCTGCTACGTCTATTAGGCTTGACACGGTCTTTCCTGCTCTCAAGTAGTGTAATAGCGTTCTAATCATTATTAGCACATCTTGTAGTAAGGATAACAGGGAACCTACTCGGTATGATCGCTCCATTTTGCACTCGTTTCTTTCCTATAGCTTGCGTTGGTTGTAGCAACTAAACAAAAGTGAAAAGCCAAGCAACGGACAAGATGGAGAAAATGTAGTGTCTTATCCCAACACATGACGTTGATTTAGGTCTTGTTGGGACAGGCCGCAGTTTTCACATTGACGATCAAGGCAAGGTCATTAGCTAGGTCGTTCTCAACCATATCACGCCTTCGTAGGCCGTGAGGATTTCATTATTGGTCTTAGATGGTCTTTTTGATGGTGGGGCGAAGTGAAGTCAATTATATACAGCTAATTATTGAAAGCAAAAAACATAAACGCCTAAGCGTGTAGGATTGTTGGTGAAAATGCAGATGTGGTCTGTTGTTGGACGAGCCTGGGTCGGGCCCAAAAATCACTGCCCCATACGGAGGCCAACGATTCTTGCAAGGTAGAAGTGGTGAAAATGAGCTACGACTGAATTGATTTATGACCAATAGGATAGAAACTCGCCGTTTTGAAGTGTGATCCAAGGTCCGTCAAACAAAATGTCTACGCGTTCCTTTCAGCCCTGTAGGGTTTCGCGAGCATACCTGATTGAATCGTGGAGAGCCTAATTTTTAGCGCATGATGAGGATTAGTAAGCAACGGAGACCAGCTCGGTCAATGCTCAAACCCAAACTTCACTTCATTTCTCAACACGACGCAACACGGATTTATCGTCACATATCTCGAGAAGATATAGTCTGGACAAATTCTGTATTGATTTATTGGTTTTGTATGGTATTAAAGCTTGAGACCCTCGAGGTGCTTTAGATCTCACCCCTCGATCACATTCACTAAGACCATGAGCCCCACCACCCTTCCGGTAAGAGCATGATGGGAAGGGTTACAATATGTGAATCATGAGCTTTATTTATTTGAGAATCTTACGATGAATCCTCTCAAACCATTCGTCGAAGCTAATTTCAATAGAATTCCTCAGCATATCCACCATCCCATTGACATTCACAGCCTGTATCTCTCTAGACCGCACTGAACGCATGGGTTTGGTGCCAATACCACTTCGCATTGAGCTTTTGCCAATTTTCGACGATCTATTTCGTTCAGTATCACAAGATCTCTGGATGACAATCATCGACATGGAACCATGAATCTTGGACGTTCAATTCTTTATTCCAATCATTCGCGCTGGAAATTTTAGCACTCTTTACGAATCATCAAAATTGGCAGCAGCTTTCTCGCGCCTGAAGAGGTACATACAGACCTTGATTTATTCTTGCATATTCCCCAATATCTCTGATTGAGGACCTTAACACATCCCAGGAGACTACCCGGTGCTAAAGTCCAATAACAAACAGATCACGTGTAATATGTCGTTTGTTCAAATTTTAATGGTCAACTCGTAACAGTTGTGGCACCCGAAACACCAAGGCTAAAAGTTAAGAGTGGTTGACTACCTTATCTTCGTCTTTGAACAGCAGGTTCGTCTGGAACTGCCATATCTCAGGGTTATTTTTGACGAGTAGTCCGGAATTGTATTCGCGAAATCTTTCTTTGAAGACTATGCGGCTGTCATCTACGAAAACTAACTTTATATCTAAGGTTTTCATTTCACAAAAGTCCAAACAAGATGTGGAAGCTGCTACAGATCAGATCATGAATACAGTCCTTTGTTAACATAGCCATCGCCACTCAATTCTTCGAGTTCCCAGCTTGTATTGATACAACACACAAGTTAT